CCCAGCACTGAAGAGACAAAGGCAGGTGGATCTCTGAGTTTGAGGCTTGTAATCTGACATTCCTTTGTGGGACTGCCAGTCCACAAATAATGGCACAGAGACTTATTATTAATTATAGAAGCTTGGCCTTTAGCTTAGGCTGTTTTCCAACTTGCTCTTATAACTCAAATTAACATGTTTCTATTAACCTACATTTTGCTACCTGACTTTCACCTCTCTCTCTGTACATCTGACTTCTTCTGTGTCTTGCTGGTGTCAATGCATCTCTTCTTCCTGGCGACCTCTCTTTCCCCGGAAGTCCCACTTATTCCCTCCTGCCTAGCTATTGGCCATTCAGCCCTTTGTTAAACCAATCAGAAGTTACCTTAGGCAGAGACACATCTTTACAGTATACGAAGATTATCCCACAATAGAGGCCAGCCTGGTCTACAGAGCAAGTTCCAGGACAGCCAGGGCTATACAGAGAAACCCTGTCTCAAAAAACCAAAAACAATCATAAAAGACATTGACATGGAAATAATTTTTAAATAACTTGAACAACAATCCTCTTTAAGCATGCCTAGTTAGTTTGGGAGGGGTTTACTAATGATTCTTGAGAAAGACCCCTGTATATGACTGAACCCTTTGGAAGCTTGCATATAATATTTCTTAAACAAGAAGAAATTCTTTCCTTTCTGTCTTTCATGAAATGTTCTCACCCCTTTCTCCTTCATTATCTCCTCGAAGCATTTCAAAACCTGGTCAATCCATGAGAGTGCCCCTTTGTGAGTGAAAAATGGTTGAATAGCCATAATCTCATATGGCTCAACTTAACATCTAGCCATCCTACACCATATAGCAGACAGTAGCCCATTTCATTTGCATTTGCATTTTTCAGTATAATGTGTAATGCACACTGAGAACATGTGTGCATTATTGTAGGTGATATGGTGAATAAATCACTGCTTTTGGCTACATACATTCCAGCTGGAAGGGGCAATACCTTTTTGAAAGCTAATTGTACTGGAGGAATGGCTGGGAACCCTAACTATGTAAAGTCCAGCCAGTCTGGAGGTGGAGGCAGGAGGAATCAGTTAAAGGTCTTTTTGAACTTTGTAGGGAGTTGGAGCAGGGGCCAGCCTGGCTACAGGAACCTCAAACAAATCAACAGAAAAACAAAACAAAGTGCATGCATACTGCTTTGGGGCCATTGGACAACATGACCCTGAGTGTGACTACTTCCCTTGCTGGGTCAGTTGGTGCTACCAGGAACCAGCCAAGAGACATTGGTTCTCCGTGTTGTCATGCTAGGCTCGGGGAGGCTGGTGTGGGCAACTTCCTGGTGGCTGATCCTGGAGTAATTGCCCTACAGCAGATGACAGCCAACCTCTGGGCCTCTCCAGTGATTAATTTTTTTTTTTTTTACAATTTCATTTGTGTATACAATGCTTTCTGATCACACATCTCATTCTTACACCTTTCCCAATCTCATACCCCTCCAATCACCCTCTTACTTTCATGTCTTTTTGTTTCTCTTGTGACCCAATGAACTTAACTAGTACTATCTCTGTGAGCACTGATGTGGTCACATCCAAATTATAATCAAGACTGACATCAAAATCTTTCATTTCTGTATCTCAGTTTGGTTTCACTTTTCAGGGTAATATACATTTTAAAGATGTCACACCGAAGTGCTGATCTAACTAAAATCTAATAGTACTGATGAGACACAATATAACAAGGTGTAATTTCACCCATCAGTTTGTTTTTTTTTTTTAACCAGTGTTCATCTGTAGGTTACCACTAGAGAACAAACTAAAGCCTACTAACATCTCCAGGTTACATATCCATGACCAATAAATGGTTTTATTCTCTTAATGATCATACTTTCATAGTGAAAGTGAACTTGGAGGCCAGGTATGAATTTAGAAGTGTGAAGTATTCTTGCAAAAATGAAGTGCACTCCCAACCCCCAGTCTAGCCTCTGTGTAAATACGGCAGGTTTAGGAACAAGTTAAACATAACTGTTAAGATAAAGTCAGCAGACTCACAAAGTAGGCAGTTCTCCAGGACAAGACTGTTTTCTTCAGCATACGGTGTCCATCAGAGTGTGGAAGAGTGTTGCAGAATACTTGTTTCCACTGTGTGAGCATGTGTCCTTGTGATTGGTTAATTAAAGAGCTGAATGGCCAATAGCTAGGCAGGAGAGACAGGTGGGATTCTGGGGAGAGAGGGGAAGAGGAGGAGGAATCTAGGTGTGTGGATTATGCCAGGGAGGTGCCAGGGAGACTCTGAAGAAGTCCAACATTCAGTACAGAGCAGAGGTAACTGAGCCACATGGCAGAACATATATTAATAGAAACAGGTTAATATGAGTTATAAGAGCTAGTTAGGGACAAGCCTAAGCTAAAGGCCAAACTTTTATAATTACCAATTCTCCTTGTTGTTTTTTGGGGACTAGCCATCCAAAGATAGTCCAACAAGAAAGCTTGTTACAGAAAAGGGATTGCCATGTGAACTAAACACAGTGTTAATCTTATTTGTATCTTCATTTTTACAAGCCAACTAACTCCAGGTGGGCATTTTAATGTATTTTTAGTATTTATGTGTATGTGTGTACACTTATTCATGTCTATCACATGTGTGCAGGATTCCTTGAAGCAGAAGAGAGCTGTAACTAGAATTATATTGGTTGTGAGCTGCCAGGTGGGTGCTGGGAACTGAACCCAGGTCCTCTAGGAGAGCAAGTGCTCTTAATTGCTGGGTCATCTCTAGTTCCTACACAGGAATTTTAAAGACTGAAAATTGAATGTGGAACATATAGATATTAGATGTTATTAAGGAATTACTGAATTTGCTAAGTATATATGGAATTTTAAAATAGGTTTTGTTTACACAGATGAAACAATTTGAGATTTGCTGTAAGACATTCCTGTAAAAAATGAAAAAGGTATTGGGAGGGAGGACAGATGGAACAGGAGTGGCAAATGGTTGAAGCTGGGGTGGTAGTAACATGGGAATTCACCATATTGCCTCTTACATTTGTTAAAATAAATGTTGAAGTGTTGCTGTGTGTGATGGGGGCGGTCCTCCTGTGTATATGATGTCTTATTGGTTGATAAATAAAGTACTGTTGGCCAATAGGAAAACAAGATAGGTGGGACTAGGAGTCAGGGAGGATTCTGGGAAATGTAGGAGAAAGCGCAGAGTCACCATGTGAGCCCGGGAAGACAGGATGCTTCCATTGGTGTCCGATAAGATATGTAGATTTATGATAATTAAGACTGAGCGAGCAGATGAGAAATCCTAGTCATTGGCAAAGCAGCATTTGTACCTAATATAAGTCTCTGTATGTTACTTGGGACCATAATGTGGCAGTGGGCGGAACTTGGGCTGCCTGGCAGGAAGCACCCACAATGTGGCAGCGCTGGGGGGGGGGGCGGCTTGGTGGAAAGACTTATTATTACACTGTGTACACAATGTAAGTGTTTGTAAGTGGAAATCCTAAAAAGCACACTGGACAAAGTATAACTGATGGAATTCGGCAAGGGGTTTGGACACAAGAGTGTGGTACAAAAGTCAATAGTGTAGCTATAGCTAAGATACCAAACAAAAGAGAGTGAAAAAACAACTATAAACTCTGAAGAAGAAAGCCTTAATGACCTCAGGATGGGCAAGATTTCTTAAAATACAAGTGGCAGAGACCTGACAAAAGACTGACAAATTCACTACACTGAACAGAGAGAAAATCCCCCATAAATAAAGACAAATGCTAAGCCAGAAGACATTCACAACACACACACACACAACAGTAAAATGAATAAAGTAGGCCACCTAAAGAATTACACATCACAGAGAGAAAGGAAACCCAATGGCACACTTTATAAAAGAGTGGACAGTTCACGGAACAATGTATAGTTGAATGAACATTAAGAAACACAGCATCCCTGAACTGTCAGAGAAATGTAAACTATAGTCACAAGTATGCATAGTAACACAAATTATAAAAGTCTGATCATATCTAGTGTTGGTGAGGATGTAAACTGCTCATTTTGCAAGTGACCCAGAAAACCTGGGAAGATGTCCTAGTAAACAATTCAAAGACCTAAGTGTCCATCTTAGGTAAACAAAAATTGTGATTACATCTATTCAAGGAAATATAGCAGTTAAAACATGGAGAGAGCCTCAAAGGTAATGCTGGTGACAGTGATTTGGAGAGCATCACAGTGGTATACATTTATGTGAATTACCCCACAACACTCAACATATGCATTTACAAACATTTAAACATGGTAAAAGTTAAAATGGACTAAAAAGATTTCTATAAAATTCATGGTAGGAATTGTCTATTTGGACAGAGGGAAATTAAGGTGGGTATGTAGTGATACAGTGGGAAGACAGTTCAACTTGCCTGTATATAAAATTAAACATTTCATAGACTGTGAGAAAAATTTAGATTTAAGTGAAAAAATGTTAACATTTGTTTGCTTAATGACAGGTATCCAAATATCTATCATAACTGCCCAGACTTTTTGAATAAGAGAACTTATAAAAATTAAATTTTACAAAAATTAAAAACTGAAAAATTGAAGTTCAATCATGATTTTTTCTTAAAAGACCACGGTGTTTGGTAGGTAGAGAAAACTCGATTTTATTTTAGTTTCTATGTCAATGAATTTGAAGCGCAAGAATGAAAGAGTTACAAGTTTCACCGTAAATAAAAATGTATCATTCCAACGATGGAAGAAATGACATTTATTGTATGGGGACTTTAAAAGTGCGTGTGTGTGCGGTGTGTGTGTGCCCGTGTGTGTGTGCGGTGTGTGTGTGTCTGTGTCTGCGCGTGTCTGTGTCTCTGTGAGTGTGTGTCTGTGTGTCCCGTGTGTCTGTGTCTGTGTGTTTGTCTGTGTGTGTGTGTGCGGTGTGTCTGTGTGTGCCCGTGTGTGTGTGTCTCTGTGTGTGTCTGCGTGTCTGTGTGTGTGTCTGTCTGTGCGCGCCCGTGTGGCGCACTGCACGTGTCCATGCGTGTGCGCTCCCAGCCGGCCTTGAGGACCTCTGAGCGGGCTTTCCCCCCAGCTTTCCTCACTGTTTTCCCCCCAGCTTCCCCGCATCCCGCAATGCAATCGGTAGAAACATCAGCCACGAGGAGCTCAGAGGACTCTGGGAAGCATTTCTGTTGTGTTTGTAACCATGGGGAAAATTGCACTCGGTCCTAGAGGGATCCGCGTTCGGTCACCGCTCCGTCTTGCGCAGTAGTCACCGGCCACAGAAAATGAGTAAAACTGAAAAAGAAACAATACTAACTATGGTCTTGAAACTATTTTTTTTCAAGTCTAGTTTACAGTTTCAGTTGGAATTTATGTGCATGGTTTTGTTCTAAAAATATTTAGAATCTTGAGTTGCTAGTAATAAAAGATTGACAACTTACTGCGAGTTTTGGAAATTCTTTAGGGGGCAAGTGTGGACGTGGGGCGTTTATCGTAGATATTTTCTTCGTTTAAATTTGTTTGAAAGTGGGCTTTCTGCGAGTCTGATCTGTGAGAAGGTTTTCCCCCGACTGTGTAAGGAATCAGTTCTAGCAAACGTGGAAACTCTTCGTGTCTGTCTTTATCTACGTGCACGCGGAAAACTTTTACAGTGACAGTGAAGTACTCACAGGCACCGGATCAGATTTGCTGTCGATTTCTAATTTTGCTATGAGATATCTACATCGTAGTATTAAGCACAGTCAAAGAACAAACCACTACGTTCAGGAGACTTTTAATGGTTTTAATTTCATCAGCAAATTTTAATTTTTAATGTTATCAGCACATTTTAACGGAAGCAGTTAAATCTGTGTGCTCGCTGCCCATCTTTAAAAATAAAAGGAGCAACAAGAACAACAAGAAAAATCCCACAGCGGGACAGAAAGTGCTGAAGTCACCCACAGGGAAATATTCACTCACAGGTCGGCTTGGTTTAACGCTGACGTCTCCTTCGCTTTTGCTCCAAGTGCGGGTGTGCGGTGAGCTAGTTTGCCTCCGCTCGGCCACCGTCCGTCAGCGTTCCGCAAATTTTGTCCGCCGGCCGCCGCCGTTTTGGATTACTCACCGATCCGAGTAGTGAGGGAGAGGCGTCTGTTTGGCGGAAGCCGGCTGGTGCGGCCGGGACCATGGAGTCGCCGTTTAGCCCGGGGTTTCCTCACGGGCCGGAGGAAGACTGGGGTGAGTGGGTCTGCGAATGTGCCCGGGCTAGCCCGGGGTTTTCCTCCGGGTTTCCGCCCGGGACGGTGACAGGTGTGGACGAGCCTGGCCCGGGGAGCCAGGCCACCGGCACCGGCTCGCTCGCTCGCTCGCGGGCTTCCGTCCTGGCCGCGGCGATGGTGAAGTGATGCTGTCATCGGAATGGCCGTGGCTTTCTAGCGTGTGCTCCTGGTGGAGGCGCCGGGTGACCCCGAGAACTCAGCGGGACGACCGTGGCTGCCCCGAGCTGCTTTCTCAGACCGTGGGCTGTGGGCGTGGAGCGAAGTGCGTGTGTGTCTGTGTGTGCGTGTGTGTCTGTGTGTGTGTGTACGCGTGTGTGTGTGTGTACGCGTGTGTGTGGTGTGCGTGTTCGTGTGTGTGCGTGTGTGTCTGAGTGTGTGAGTGAGTGTGTGTGAGTGTGCGTGCGTGTGTGTCTGTGTGTGCGTGTGTGTCTGTGTGTGTGTACGCGTGTGTGTGTGTGTACGCGTGTGTGTGTGTGGTGTGCGTGTTCGTGTGTGTGCGTGTGTGTCTGAGTGTGTGAGTGAGTGTGTGTGAGTGTGCGTGCGTGTGTGTCTGTGTGTCCGTGTGTGCGCGCGTGTTCGTGTGTGTGCGTGCGTGTGTGTCTGTGTGTCCGTGTGTGTGCCTGTGTGTCTGTGTGTGCGCGCGTGTTCGTGGTGTGTGTTCGTGGTGTGTGTGCGTGTGTGTGTTCGTGTGTGTGTGTGTGGTGTGTGTGTGAGCGTGGCATGTGTGAGAAAATATGGTTGACATACAGAAGAAAATCCTTATCTCTCAGCTTTCACTGCTGGCTTAAGGCAATATCTAAATTGGCAAAGAAGCAAAGGTCCCAAGCACATGACCCCTGTCCCTGATTGCTAGATCTAACATAAGCTGATGTAATCCTACTGCTGCCCAAACACAGCTCTGACATCGCTTGTTAAGTCTTTCTTGCTTGGTTTCGGTGTTCAGGAAGGATGGATGGAGTGGGGACGACAACGGACAAGTGTTGTCATCTAAATCCTTGGAGGAAGCTGTGTTTACAATACAGAATATTAACGGGATCCAGTATGAAGTCGGAATTCTGTAGGTCCTTCAGTGGACCCTGTAGTGAGACTACACCGTTCTAAAGCGTTGTAATTTTGGGCTCTTATTTTCCTAGGACCAGAGACCAACATTCTACCACAACACGAGGGGACTCTCAGAATGTATTGCACATCCTAGTTTATTTTCCGGTGACGGATGTGCTCTACAATCTATGAGAGATTTTGTTTTAATCCTTGGGTAGATTTTCGAAGACTTTATGGAAAAAAACCGTAGATGTCCATTTTTCCAGTGCGTTTTTCCAGCTAAATATTTTGGTATAATAACATTAGCTACTTGCTGAGGATTTTTTCAGTCAGCTATTCTGCAGAGCATACTACAGTGCTATTTATGTCAACAACTGTCCCTGTGAGATCCTGCCCTCCTTTAGATGCTGAAACTGGGGCTGACAGAATTTGTGCTCAGAGTCTTAGAGGTGTTGAATGGTAAAAGTAGGATTAGAACCAAGGCTGTCTAACTTTGAAGTCTGTGCCCCTGGTTTTTCTACTCTGTAACACTTTACAACTCTTTTCCAAAGGTGTATTCTTCCTAATGCTTTTTCTGTTTTTAACAAGTGGACTTCAGTATGTTGGGTAGTTAGGATTTCTTTTCTCAACCATTTGACCCTTATATTTTCATGGCATTTTAAAAACTATAACATGAAACACCTTGTGATAGCATTATTTTGTCTTGTTTTCTGATTCTCAGCTGCATTTTTCCTAACTGCTAAACTTAAGTCTTCAACAAAACATTTAGTTCTTTGTAGTTGGTGGATTGACTCTGTTCTCAGGTGCCCCATTTCTCCTTGAATGTGTCCTTCTGTTGTTTTCTTAGGTTTCCTTTTTCAGACTGTTAACAATCAACTCTCGTTTGAATACTTTCATCCATTAGGTGTTCCCTAAGTAGGATAGATTTTGCAGGCATTAGATACTACTGTTTACTAGGGTTTCTCAATAAAATGATGGATTCTCTGGGAGTTGCTGTTTTGGATGTTTGATTATTTTACTGAAGTGTTGATGTTTTAAAATTAGTTTTAGCTGCTGCCCTGTTAAAATTTAAAAATTAGATCTTATAATTAGTATTCTTATGATGAACAACTTGAACAATTTGAAGGACATTATCAGCATAGGGCATGATGGGATGTGCTTCTATTTATTTATTTTCTAAATGTGATTAATGAAATTTAGAGCTGGCATCTGCAAATGTCTTTTGAAAAGATCCACATAGCAGATATTTTGGGCATTGCTATCATGTGGCCTCTGTTGTAGCTGTTTTGCTGCTGTGAAAAAGCACCATAGACAGAGTAGCTAAGTGAGAAGGGCTGTGTTTCTGTAAAAGCTTGTGGAGACTCAAATTTGGATTTCACATAGGTGTATTTTGTTATTTCTTTTACTTAGAATCTTTTAAAGACATTGTTTTGCTGTGTATCTCAGGCTGGCCACAAACTTCTGATATTCTGCCTTAGCCTTCTGAATTGGGGGTTATAGGTACATGGTGTCATACCTGACTCTGTATATTGCTATTGTTGTTAGGTCTTTTAAGACGTGGTCTTGCTAGATAGCACAGGATGGCCTAAAACTTTCATAAGTCTCCTTCCTCTGGCCCCCTAATTATATTTAATGTATGACTTAATAATCTTTTTAAAAGTGTAGCTTTAGGATTTTAGAGTAATTGTACTGATAATACATGCAATTCCATACGATCCCCCCTACTCTCTACAACTTCCTCTACTGGTAACATCTTATATTACTATGCTGGTTAGTTGGTTGTTTTTGTTTGTTAATTTGACACAAGCTAGAATCATTTGGGAAGAGAGAACCTCTATTGAGAAAATTCCTCCATCAGATTGTCACGTAGGCAAGTCTATGGGTCTTTTTTTTTTTTTTTTTTTTTTTTTGATTGATGATTGATGTGGGAGAGCCTAGCACTTTGTGAATGGTGCCAACCTGGGCAGGTGGTTTTGGGGTATATAAGAAGGCAGGCTGAGCAGGCCATGGGGAACAGCATTCATCTATGACTTCTGCTTCAGCTCCTGTTTCTCGGTTCCTGCCTTGAGTTCCTATCCTACTTCCCTTCATGTAGGCAGTGATTGGGACATGTAAACTAAATAAACCCTTTTCTCCCCAAGTTGCTTTTGGTCATGGTGTTTATCACAGCAATGGAAGGCAAACTAAAGCAATTAGTGTGGTACTTTTGAGATGTATGAATTAGTGTTGATCAGTTTTCTTCATTTTTAAAGACAAGTTCTCCAATTTGGCCTGGAACATTTGATGCAACCCAGGCTTTCTTGAATTCTTAGTGCTCTTCTCTCAGCTTCCTAAATACTGGAATTACAGGCATGAGCCACTGTGCCTGGCTTGATAGATTAGTATTATGTGAAGGATGAAACTTAATATAGAGGCTTTGACATGTGTAACACCATGAGCCCATCATAACCGTGTTGTCAAAGTAGGGTAGAGTATCTCTCTTTCACACATTCCCTGTGCTTCATCCATTCATCCCTCCTTCCTTCCACCTGATAGTCCAATACCCCATAATAGATCTTTTCATTGTCTCCACAATTTTACTTTTGTTGTAGAGTTGGAACCACGCAATATGTAACCTTTTCAAACTGGCTTCTTTACTTAGGAGTATGCACTTGGAGTTCCTCTGTGTCTTTTTGTGGCTTGGTGGCGTATTTCTTTTTAGCATCAAATAGTGCCAAAGATAAGGGTTTTGACAAATGTTTAATGACAGTGATCTGTCATTACAGTATCCTACACAGTGTGTAGGATGCTAGCTAGTGTGCTCAGGTTTTGATGCTAGCCCCCTTCTCGACTTGTAGACGACTGCCTTCTTGCTGTGTCCTCACATGGTGTTGAAGGAAAGAGAGTTATCCTCTTCTTACAGCATCATTTAGCCTTAGTAATCTCCTCAAGACCCTGTGTTGGATATAGCCATCTTGGGGATTAGGGTTTCAATATGAATTTTTGGAGGACATAATTCAGCTTAGAGCACATAGTTTGTATATCTATTACATGTTGATATATTGGTTGCTTCCAGTTTTTGGCAGTTAGACATGAAGCTGCTCTCAACATCTGTGTGCAGGTTTTTGTATTGATATAAGTTTTCTTATCATTTGGACTGATCCCAGGGAGCTCAATTACTGGAACGTATTGTAATTTGGTTTATAAGAAACTGCCAAGCTTGTATCATTTTGTGTCTCCACCAGCAGTGAGTGGATGTTTCTGTTTGCTGGCATTTGCTGTTGCCAGTACTTTGGAGTTTAGCCATTTTAACAGGTGTGTGGTGGTGCCTTGTTTTAATTTGCAGTTTTCTAATGTTACATGGTGTTGGGCATCTTCTCATGGCTAGTTTGCAGTATTAAACTTGCCTTCTTCCTCTCCCCCTCTTGCTTGAATCGTGCAAAAGCCACTTTCTTTTCTTTTTCTTTTTTTTTTAAAGTCACTTAAGAGATGTATGTCAAGATAAGAAGCTTCCTGCTGCTGCGGTTTCTCTCATGTCTTTAGTGTCTTCTTTGAAGCTTCGTTTCCTTTTCTTGCACTGACCAAAGTGTGACACTCCCCTGATGACACAGCTTCCCCAAAGTCTGGGTGAAAGCCTTCTGCACCCTGCACCTCAGAATACAGTAGGTGTCTTTCTTGTCCTTCTCTGTCATTTCCAGAACATACCCCTTTCCTCCACAGGCAGTGTCGAGGTGTCAGTGTTACCTTGTCACAGTATAAGTCTTCCACCTCTTTGTGTTGCAGAGATCTGCTGATTCTTTCATCACTTTCACTTACTTCTTGGAAAATGTAGTTACTAGCTTACTATTGCTTTCTCCAACATTACCCGTTAGTGTTCTTGGATATTTCAGTAGACTCAGCCAGTCTGTTCTCTGTCTTGTGACTGATGATCTTTCCCTA